ATATTGGCATATTATTTCTCAAAACAAGACAATATGTTGTGTTTGTCTAGAAAATTCTTCTTGATTTAGAAATTTTTAGATATTTGGACTAGAAACAAGAAAAAAAATCTAAGTAAGAAAAGCATTTTTTGCAGTGTACAGGTGAATTGAGAAGGCTAAATTGTCTGTAATGTATGAGTGTGTGTGTGAATGTGTGCGTGTGGATGTTTTCCAGAGATGGGTTGCGGGTGGAAGGGCATCCGCTGCGTAAAAACTTGCTGTATAAGTTGCCGGTTCATTCCGCTGTGGCGACTCCTGATTAATAAAGGGACTGAGCCGACAAGAAAATGAATGAATGAATGAACTTCTATGAAATTTCTGTCCGATTATTTAAAGTATCATGACACGGTGCCGATACAGTTTAACACGTTACTTTGAATATTCGATCTGAAATGTTGAATTACTTCAAAACAACATTAGCACTATTTAACTTACTGTGAACAATGTCATACTTTGACAGTCATTTGGCTGCTAATATGAATCTGCCTATTTAGAATTGGCAAAGCATACTTTTCTGAAATAATAAGAAGAAGAAAGTCAAAATGTCTCTAGGTTACTGAAAATACTTGTCTGAAGTGACAATATTAAAGAGAATGTCAGAATGTGCAAATATAAAACCAACTTTTACCTCATTGTAAACAATACAGGAAGCATCCACAGAGATAAGCGTGTTTATTCAGCTCTTTAACGGTAGTTATAAACATAATGTGTTGTGATCATGGCAGTACGTTATGAGAATTAATCTGTATATTAGCCTACTTAAATTCTGCACTGCAAAAAATGCTTTTCTTGTATAGATTTTTTGTCTTGTTTCTAGTCTAAATATCTAAAATTTCTCATATCAAGAAGAATTTTCTTGACGAGTAAAACATACTGTCTTGTTTTGAGAAATAATATGCCAATATTAAGTGAGTTTTTCCTTAAAACAAGCAAAATAATCTGCCAATGGGGTAAGCAAATTAATCTTGTTTTTTTTCTTTCAACATAAGATTATTTTGCTTACCCCATTGGCAGATTATTTTGCTTGTTTTAAGGAAAATCTCACTTAATATTGGCATATTATTTCTCAAAACAAGACAATATGTTGTGTTTGTCTAGAAAATTCTTCTTGATTTAGAAATTTTTAGATATTTGGACTAAAACCAAGACAAAAAAAATCTAAGTAAGAAAAGCATTTTTTGCAGTGTGATCTATTAATTTATTGAACGCGAAAGTGCGAATACAAAACCAACTTTACCCCAATAACACTGTAAACACTTAATTCACATAATCAAGCGATGCTCAGGGTACAAACAAGAGCACAGGGGTGATATTTTATTAATAAATAACTTTAATTATCAGTCAAAAACGTAGACCACTGCAGCTGGAAATGAGAGACATCTAAATCATGAGGCCAGACTCAGCTGTCATGTGCTTTGCAGATCTACAGGCCGAACTCCCGATATTACCGCTGCACATTGATATCACAGATGAAGATGGTGACAGATGTTAAATATTGAGATGAGATATACGTACTCTGTAATCTTCTTAGAGAGTTCAGTGCACGCGGGTGTAGAGTTGGCAGAGAAAACGCGATATCCACTCTTAGCCACGTTCATGATTGAGAACACAGTTAGTCCACTGCTACAAAGACTCCTGGTTTAACTCTCGTCTTTGCGATGGAAACCCTGCAGCTGCTGTGAAAACAACTGAAGGAGTATTTCTGCCCTCTGTGGAAGTAAGTTTACTGCGGTTTCCAAACAACCATTGGACTTCTTCTGTGTGAGTTTCTCTGGCGTCTGTGAGCGAGAGTTGCGTCTCTACCGCCGCCTGTCGACTATATAGTGTCTATACATTAAATCAGTGGTTTTTAAACTTTTTTCCACCAAGTACCACCTCAGAAAAATAATGTCTCTCGAAGTACCACCAAAATGAGCAGTATTGAAATACAGTAGCGTAGCAAGCCTAATTAAGCAGCTATTGCTCTGCACTATGGGGTACCATTTGTGCCAAAATTCCTATGCCTGCTTTCTGCTTTGTACTTCAAATTTGTCTTCATCTACTCTCATTGCCCGCATGTTTAGGAAAATCAGCATTGTTGACGTACATGTTGTGTGTTGATGTCGACTTAATCTGTCGTCCTGTCGGTTTTTCTCTGTTTGGTACTGTCATATTCTCAGGGCCGGAGCAAGCTGAACTGCCGCTCTAGGCAACGGACGGTCACGCCGCCCTCAAACCTAAGTGAAAACGGGGGGTGGGGGGTAGCTTAAGGGACGCCGCCCTCTCTATTCTGCCGCCCTAGATGCGGATATAACTGTGGGCACGGGTGGCGAGGGTAGTTTTGGGGACGCGGCTCTCTCTATTCTGCCACCCTAGACGCGAATATAAATGATGCGAGGGTAGTTTAGGGGACGCCGCCCGAGGCGAGGGTGGCGAGGGTAGTTAAGGGG